TCATCTATCTATCTATCTATCTATCTATCTATCTATCTATCTATCTATCTATCTATCTATCTATCTATCTATCTATCTATCTATCTATCTATCGTACTGTAGAAGTGCATTTATGTTGCTCCTAGCAATGCCTATTCCTTTTATTGATGAACTGAAAGTGAACCAGGAAGAAAAGTTCTCCTGTCAGAGGAGCCCTCAAATTGAGAGAATAGATTGAGTTTCCCATTAAGTGAACCAGCAAGAATTTAACTCCGGTTCTGATTTGTGCTAATTCAAAGTTAGCACGGTTTTCCATCATCTTGTTGCCCAGTTGCCCCATTAGGATGGATAATTTTGGTGTTCTTTGCAGCTTTGTTCCACTACCTGGAATAAATGGGTTGTCATCACCGCTCATCCTGAACTCTGGATCATTAAAGCTTGCAAATATAACATTTTGGAAAAGGAGGGGGTGGATGTATATTTAAGGAAAGGCATTACATTGTTAGAGCAAAAACTGGAAAGTGATGCAGATGCCTCCTTAGACTACATCTCATTCTAAGAACACTTTTTCTATAGGTAGTCTGGATGCTTTTTCTGGATTTTTCATTTGGCGCAGTGGTTAAAATGCAATATTACTAACTAACTCGCTGCTCACTGTCAGAAGTTGAATCCTGACTGACTCAAGGTGGACTCAGCCTTCCATCCTTCCGAGGTTGGTAAAATGAGGACCCAGATTGTTGGGGGCAAGAGTCTGACTCTGTAAACTCACTTAGGGCTGTAAAGCACTGCGAAGCGGTATATGAGTCTTAAGAGCTATTGCTGATATGTCTTTGAAACCTTCATTTTATGCTTTCATTAATTTCAATACCCTTTTTATTCTCTTTTTACAGTTTTACACAGTTGTCTGCTTGCTTGTTTTCTTTCATTTTCTTGGATTAGTTTTTATTTAAAGGTTGTTAATTTGGATTATATAAGGTGCACTGGAATACGGTATTGAAGGCACAAGATGCATAAAAATTGCTGTTCTTTTTCTTCTAGATGATCCATCTACCAGTCCGTCATTGCCAAGAGCGACTGCAAGTAAACTTGTAGATGAGCAATCTAGGAGAAACATGACTCCAAAAAACAGAGGCAAGAGGAAAGCAGACGCTTCTTCACCGCAGGACAATGAGCTTGAAGTTTGTGTTTGCTATTTTTCTCCCTCTTTTTCTTTCTTTCTCTCTCTCCCTCTCTCTTTTTCAAGTCTCAGAAATTTGAATAAGGGAAAAATAGTTAAGTTAGGCAATTGTAGTCTGCGAGCTGAATAATCTAATGGGAAAATTGGTCTGTTTAATTTTTTCTTTATCACTATAAAACATGAGAAAGTAGCTAAGCTAAGTGGGACTTAAAATTGAAAGATGAGTGTCAGGGTTCCAAGTAACCCCCCCCCCCCCCAACAAAGGAAGTGTCCAGGGCTTGAGGTTCCTCAAAGTTACATTTTATTAGAGATGTCATTGGCACATCTGGGGAAACCCAAATCTGAAAGCTTCCAGGATTTCCCCACCCAAGTGAAAGTCCAAGTCCTTGCCCAACACCTAGATGTCCATCGCATGGTCCAGTTACAGCACCGTCTCAACTGGAGATGCCTCCCAGTTCCAACCTCCCAGGTGCAGTGCAAGATGGCCTTGATCTTCTGAAAAAGGAATGTTATTTTGACTATATATCACCCATGCTCCATACAATCCCCCCCTCCCAATTTCCCACACCAGGAAACGTAGCAGGCCTGAAGTCCCAACGACAGAGATGGCTTCTAGGCCTGACACACAAGATTGCCACTTAAGGAGCATGAACAGCAAATGAAGTATTGTGATACTAAAAGACTTTTAAAGTTCTTGATAAGGATGAGGGCAACATCTATTGAATAAGGAATGCCAGGTACCCAGTTTCTTTCCCTCAAAATATGGACCATCAATCTACAAGTATCACATTTCAGTATAGAGATTAGAGCTGATGCAGTACAAATTTGTCTCAATCTCTCCGGAGGTTCATCTTCATTTCTGAAGTTTATAATCTAGTTCCAGAAATGACTCAGTGTCCTCTAACAGAGTAAAATATAGTTTGGCGGGGATGTATACCACACACAAATGCCTTCTCCTGTCAAAAGTTAAGACTGTTGTAGTTTTGGACTGTCTTAAATCACTGAGGTTTTTTTTTTTACACTAGCAAGGATGGGATGAGGTGCTTTTGAGGCTCTTGGGGGGCGGAGAACAACCAACCACCACCAACATTAACTTACTAGCTTTCTGCTTCTTTCCTCAGCGTGTATTTCTGTGGGACTTGGATGAGACCATCATCATATTTCATTCTCTTCTGACAGGCTCATATGCCCAGAAATATGGGAAGGTATTGATTTTTGCTGCTGTTATATTTATTGTAGAATGTATAGATGATTTCATCTATTCTCTTAAGTCAAGCCATGGAAAGGATAAGCCTGGAATTTGAAGTCCAGACATCATAAATTTGTAAAGGTTGGGAAACACGGATCCAGAGGAATGATCGATGCTATATTCTCCCAAAGAAAAAGTTAGCAACCGGGTGAAAATTGCTGAACTCCTCTGGATCAAGGAAGGGCTTCTTTGGGAGGAGTGAGATGATACACTGCCACCTTCAAGACTACCTTGTGGCTGTGCATGGCAGAATGTATAGAATTTGGAGGGTCCCTGATTTGAGTATATTTCTGATTTTGCCACATACAGCAACCTATCCTAAAATGCCAGCAAATAGCAGTAGAATTTTTATAATGTATACAAACCTGAAAGGTTCCGTCCAAGAGTATCTGCAGGGGGGAAGGGGGGGTAGTCAAGGGTAGGGGGGAGGCAATCAAAGCCCCACCCTTTTTTGTGTCACAATAAATGGAAAAAGTGGTGGGCTTTGATTGGATGATTGTGAATACTATCTTGCCTTCTTTTACTCTGTCCCCTTGGATATTACTGGTTCTGTCCCTAAGAGCTGCCTAAAAGTATTTTTATATACAGGTAGTCCTTGACTTATGATCGTTTTTCAGACTTATGACCATTGCAGCATGCTTGCAGTCACATGAAAAAAAAAATTCAGAGGCAATTGGCAATTAGCTCATAGTTATGACAATTACCGCATCCTGGGGACATGTTGTCACTTTTTGCAACCTTCTGACAAGCAAAGTCAAGAGAGAAGCCAAAATCATTTAACAATTGTGTTACTAACTGAACAACTGCAGTGATTCACTTAACAACAAGAAAAATCATTAAATGGAGCAAAATTCACTTAACTGCTTAGCAGTGGAAATTTTGGGCTCAATTGCTGTTGTAAATTGAGAGCTACCTGTAGATTAATAAAAAATAAAACAAGTAATTCACCTGGATAACATTTGTACTTGCTGCAAGTTTCTATAAATGTGTTTTTTGCATTAGAATTTCTGATGTCTTGTTTTAACTTTTAGGATCCCAGTTTAGTCGTTGGCTTTGGATTAACAATGGAAGAAATGATTTTTGAAGTGGCTGACACACACTTGTTTTTCAATGACTTGGAGGTAGGCAAATTCTGACTTTGCATATCTTGGAATGTCATAATAAAATCTATTAACAAGACACATCCCAAAGCTGTTTATCTCTGTTAGTCAGGACTTCAATAGGAAAGGAAACCAAATTGCAAGTCTGAACTTCCAAATTAGTCACTATGAACAGTAGGAGACCTGTGTTACTCCAATCGTAGTTCCCTTTTTCCCTTAGCATTATAATCAGTAACTAATATCTTCCTCTTTGTTATTAGAGATGAAAAAAGTACTAAACTCAGATCTGATTTGTCTTGCTTCAGTCCTCTAAATTGCTTTAAAGAATAATTTTGAGGAGTGCCATGGCTTATTGTTTTATCATTGATCGTGTTATCTTTAAATGAACATAGAGATCAGACGGAAGCCTTCCATCACCTAAACAATTTATGTTAATCCACAGAGACAAAGCTAGCTGGCTAGGAATTCTAATCCATTAAACAGGCATCTGATCGGGAGTGCATGGAATGCTATTGCCAATTAGCAGAGATCATGACTGGGCATCATAGATTTCTTTCTTTCATTACAGGAATGTGATCAAGTACATGTAGAAGATGTTGTATCAGATGACAATGGCCAGGATTTAAGGTTTGGATCTGAGGGATTAATATGGACAATATTGATATTCATATATAATGCCAAAGAGAAAATATTATCAATGTTGAATATTTACAAATTGAAATACTGTTGTTTGGTGTGACTTTTGGATTTTCCTGCTAAAAAGGGAAGGAAGGATAGCAGAGTAACCATCAGCATTCAGCAACATCTAATTCCTCCTTGTGAATAAGGGTGTCCTAGAGCCTGAAAGCACTTGATCGGCAGACCAAGGCAATGCTTAGCATACAAAGAATTTAGCAGGATGCTAAACATAGAAAGTGATGTGTTCATGCCAGGGTGGATTTGATTTACATCAAGTCGATTTAAATCACGATTTAAATCACTAGTAAAAAGGCTTGATTTAAATCAGCTCAATTTAAATCCTAATTTTTAAAGAGCAACTGTCATCTCTGTCCCGCAGCGGCTCCTCCTCTGTTCCGCTGTTGACTCACCGACAGTCCCAATATTGCAGAATATACAGCCTCGCGCTATATAACTAAGCTTCATTTCATGCTGAATAAACTAAATGATTAATGATTCTTAAATAGAAAACTATCTTTAGATAGATTTTCACTCCAAAAGCGTTTTATTGAAATACATTTGATAAACATTAAAAAAATCTGATTTAATTTTTTTAAAAATTGATTGTTTTGATTTTTTTAAAAATCATCGATTTTTATCCACCCTAGTTTAAGCTAAGGATATCCCCTGAAAGTAGGACAAGCAATCTAGAATCTTTAAACAATAACTATTGAAATCCAGTTTGTGAGATCCATCTAACCCAAAGCCTTCCTTTTCTATTCCAGCAACTACAATTTTTCCACTGATGGCTTCAGCGGTTCAGGAAGTAATGCCAATCATGGTTCAACAGGAGTCCAGGGAGGAGTGGATTGGATGAGGAAGCTGGCATTTCGCTACCGGAAAGTACGCGAGGTCTATGATAAATACAAAAACAACGTTGTTGGTGAGTACCAGTAGGGTTTTTTACGCTGTTCCTACAGCAGGCAAGATAGACTCTTCTGTTAAAAATTGTTAAGCTTTTGGAAAGAACCAGAATCAGCCAGCCAGCCAATAATGACTTTATTGCTGATTAGAAAATTGGCCATATCAAAATACAAAATATAAAACACATAAGACAGAAATGGAATAAAAGAATCAAATTAAATAAAAAGAATAAAATACAAATACAAAGTACGTGTCAGTATATCACCCCTACTACAGTTTATCCCAATCAGACCTGTCTATGTAGATTTCAGCTGAACTGTTTTATTCAAATCAGGCCATCCATCCAATTTTGGCAGGACTTCAATAACCTATTGAAAGGTTATTAGCATTGGGGTAACTGCATTGAAATGTTCACACTTGACATACACAGTCATCTGGATTGCAACCAAGAGAGATATCACAATCTTGGTGTAACTTCTCCTTGAGGAAGATGGTAGTCTAGAAACATGAAATATAGATAAATAAAATAAAATAAAATACAATCTTTCCCAGCACAGTTCTTGTCAGCTCTTTGATTGAGTATGCTCCCAAAGGACTCCCCGTGGCTTTGCTGGCTATAGAATTCTGGGAATCGAAGTTTACACATCACAGATCTGTCCAGGAAATGCAGAATTCCATTTTTTGTGAAGTACCTTCAGAGTATTTACTTTTACACAGTGCTTTTTAACCACACCAAACCTATCCTCTTTTTTTATAAATGGTATTTTCTCCCTGTGGTAAAAAATATATCCCCTACTTCTACAACTAGCCCTATTCATAAGTCATTTCACAAAGAATTTTTTTAGGGAAGGATAAGGCTGACTGGAGTAATAGGAGATGTTTTATATGCATCTGTTTATGAATCTGAACATGATTTTGACTTGCCGCAGAAAGACAGTTTGGAAAAGAAAATATTTAAAAACTTGATGGTCTGATTGAGTATGTGAAAATTTACTTTCTGCTGTTTTCATAAAGACATCTCTGAATTGGAAAAATAATCCCAATTTATTGAATGCAGAAATCACAAAGTTGGTCAATGAGACTAATAACATTTCTATTTCCTGATTAACTTCATTTGTTTTTTTTTTTTCCTCTCTAGCTCTCCTCAGTCCTGAGAAAAAAGAAGCACTACAGCGATTAAGAGAAGATATAGAAGTGTTAACAGATTCTTGGTTGGGAACAGCATTAAAATCCCTCTTGCTCATTCAGTCCAGGTACAAAAATGAGACTCCCCTGTAGCAGAATAGTTCTGATACAGTGCCTGCTACCACATTGGTGTGTGATGAACTGTCTCATAAACAGAATAGTGTTAGAAACGTCCAACCTGAATTCTAAAGATGTGGTCAGGTGTTCTGACCTAGGCTTCTCAAGATTATGAAGAAGACTCCTCGTCCCGATAATACCTCTTTTATTTTGGTTAAAGGGAATTCCTCTCCATCAAAAATCCCGGCAAACAGTCTTTATGAGATTTCACAACTACAGACCTTTATCAAGCTTGGAGAGTTGCCAGGCCGACAGCTTCCAAGTGCCACACTCTAACAGCAATTACTTGGCAAGAAGTCAGGAACATATCTTCACCCTAATGAACTGAACTAATTGTCTCCTGCAAACTCCCCTTCCCTTTCACTCCTCTTTATTCCCTATTGGGGGGGGGGGCATTCACCATCCACCTGTGGCTTTACTCCCGAGTCAACCCTTGTTCCTTAGCTGTTCCTTCTCCTGGCAGCTCTGCGCATGCACACATCAGGAACAGGCTCCAGATGTTCTTCTGCCCCACTGATACCCAACTCCGAAGGCAGCTGATAACTGTTAGACGGCCCTGGCCCTCATCAGAGCCTTCCCCAGACGCCAGGACTGGCCCATGTTCCTCCCCAAATTCCTCACTGTCTGAGTCTGCCACCAGCTCCACTGGCTGTGGTGGGCCACAACATCATGTCTCAGTGGAGAACCTTGTAACTTGGCACCCAAACTTAAAGGTCACATCTGGGCAAGATAAGCCAGAATTGTTTAGAATGTTAATATAAACTTGGATGACCCCTGTGGTGATACACTCTCATTTGTTCTTCTTGGAACAATTCTGGAATAGCTATTTAGGACTCTGCTCTAGTGAGCCAGCTCTAGTTTGTTCATAGCTTATTAAAAGTTCAAACCAGAATTCCAGGTTAGCCTATCACATTGTCTAAATTTTTCAAACCTCCAGGCTTTGCAAGGAGAAGCAGTAGGTGTACCTGCTCTTCATTCATGATTAAGAATTCTCAAACACTGGCCTCCGGCCATGACTAATTGTGGCCATTGCTGCATAGGAGATTTAAATTGAGCTTTCCTTTTTGTTATTCTTTTCCCGTTGCGTCTAGATGTAGGTTTGGAGATTTTTTTTCTTTGTCATTTGTGTAAACATCTTTTACAAAAGAAGGCAAATATACATGTCCCACAGATATCTTCTTTTCCTCCCTCTTGTTTTTCTCCAGAAAAAATTGTGTGAATGTCCTGATAACCACCACTCAGCTAGTGCCAGCTCTGGCCAAAGTCCTGCTTTATGGACTTGGGGAAGTGTTCCCCATTGAGAATATTTATAGTGCTACAAAAATAGGTAAGTGAATGACATCAAATTCCTCTAGGTGGTGTTAGGAATTCCCATTGGATGCAAATTGAATATGGAAAGAGAGAGGGAGGGAGGGAGAGAGAGAGAGACTGACTTCAATGTGTGAAATCATCAGAATCAAGTATTTCTTTGTTTTAATCACAAAGATACGTGTCCCTTCCTGGCAGGTAAAGAGAGCTGTTTTGAACGAATTATCTCTCGATTTGGAAAGAAGGTCACCTACGTGGTGATTGGAGATGGCCGTGATGAAGAATTGGCAGCCAAGCAGGTGACTGTGGGCTTCATTCTTTTTCTCCTCTTAGCACCCAGGATGGTCCATTGTCTGTTTCTGCCAGCTCTTTGACTGCAGCTACTGCTTCAGAGCTATCTAAGGCCTCGGCCACCCCTCACCCAGGTACATCCATAGATCTGAAAATACACTATATTGCCAAAAGTATTTGCTCACAACTAAATCTGATTATGTGGATGGGTGAGCAAATACTTTTGGCAGTATAGTGTACCTTCATGACTGATGGGGCTGTTAAACTTTGCTTTCTTGGGTGACTCCAACTTTCAGAAAGTAAGTATTAACATTTGCCCATATTAGTCAGCACCATTGATTACGGACATGTATTCTTGCTGCATGAAGAAAGCTGAATGTGGTGGCTAATCTGTTGCACTTGGTTGGGGAAAACCAAATTCAAGTCCCCATGGACCAAGCAGCTAAGATTGGGCTAGTCATACTCTAGTCATACATAATTTATTTCACTGGGTTGATATGCACTAAGAATGAGCAGAGAATCTTGAGTTTCCAGAAGGACAATTGGATCTAGTGATGAGGATAACAATGTTGATAAATAATAGGATAGGTAGCCTGAGATCTGAAAGTTTTGTGTGCCCCCATCCCTCCAAAATGAATTTTTTTTCTCAACATTGGAACTCCTTATTAGGCTCCAAAAACTATGAAAGACACACTGAGGTTCTTCTAAGCAATCATTAAGTTAATATAACTTTTATTGTCATTTTTGTCCTGTGGGCACACTGGCACACATTAAAAATGAAATTCTGTTTTCTGCGCCCAAAAGTGGACACATACGTAACACACATATAGACATGCTGTTATATACATAAATATGTATATACCTAAACCGTAACATATAAATACATATAAATACTAATCACTGTCCATCTTGATTACTGATAGAAGAGGATATTTGTAGCTCAGGGTTAAACTGCGGGATCTTTGATGCTCTCTGAGTTTGGTGGTTTTCTTGCAGCTGTTTCATTTCCAGACTAGGTAACATTGTCAGTGTCCTACCCTGTTTCCTCGATAATTAGACCTCCCCGCATAATGCCTAATTGGGCTTTTGAGCGTATGTGCTAAAATAAGCCCTTCCCGAAAATACTGCAGCACAGCAGCAGCCATGAGGTGACCACACTCACCACCAGCTGCACCTCAAAAATAATAAGACCTCCCAAAAAATAAGCCCAAGCGCTTATTTTGGGGGGGTCAAAAGAAAATAAGAACCTGTCTTATTTTCGGGGAAACATGGTATCAATTCCCTTATTGTTCCCCACCCATGGACAAACTAAAGCAGACAACTTGCACCATTAAATACTGAGACCTGGTAAGGAAGAGTCGCCTTAACTCTTCCTCCCACACTAAACTTTGCTGTCTCTTGCTACTCTGCAATGCATCCCCTCCATCCTGGGAATCCAAAGTACATCACACTCCTCCAGCAACAGTTGCTGTAAATTGTAGCGCAACTTCCCTAAAATTACAAAGTCTCTCCACACAGACCAAAAAAGAAAGGGGGGGGGGAGAGAACCAGTGTGCAGAATTTCATACCACTCACTGTGCCCCCCTTTGTGCAGAAAAAGCCTTCCTTTGCAGCCCACCCTGTCCCCCTTGCCAGAGAGAGCCCCATTCCTCACCATACAGTTTCTCTTTTTTTACAGCACAACATGCCGTTCTGGAGAATCACAAACCATGCGGATCTGGTGTCCCTTCACCAGGCCCTCGAATTAGACTTTCTGTGAGGACCTGGGCACGAAGCATCTTGGCCCTGCTCCCAACAGTCACCTCGTGGCTTAAACAGGAACCAGTCTGGGGACTTTTTTCTTTCATCCCAGACAAAGAAATGCAGCCAATGGAAGTGTACAGCAGGAGGTTCTTCTCCCCATCGCTGCTTTCCCGGGAGAGCCGACAAAAGCCTTGGCAATGCAGCTCTGGTGCTCGAATGGTTCTCTGTGGGTTTTTAGGGTTTTTTTTTGGCAGAAAAGGGAACTTTGGGAAACTTCCAGGTGCAGAATCTCCAGCAGCAAAGGCCTTTCTCCCTGTGCAGTCCTCTGTGGTATTATACTAAAGAAGAGAAAAGCAGTACAGTTTTGTAGAATACTTTTGCCCCTTGCAGACTTTTTTCAAGCTGTTAAGTTGGAAAGGAAGACAAATGGATTTTTTAAAAAATTTTCTTTTACGGAAAGGGGTCCAGGCATGTCTCCTTCCTTGCAAAGCTCAAAAATAGCACTGTTTATATGTGGGGGTGGGGGTGGAGGGGAAAAATAATAAAATAAGGTGTGTTGGATGAAGGGGAGCTTTCTATTCTTTCCTAGTAAGCCAGGGACTGAAAATATCCAACCATTCCCTTGAGGCACCATGGCTTTCCCCCGATTCTTTTTCCAGCAAATATACCCACTTGACTAGCATATAATATATATTTTTAAGTGAGGACAACTCTAGAGTCCAAATGTCTCCTCTTTTCAGCACCTGCATAATTGGGTAACAAGAAAGCTCCTGCTCTTAGAGCCGAGATGGCAACCCTGCCAGTCCACGACAGGAGTCCCCTTCAGATGCCCACTTCCCATGCGCCAAGGATAGTGTCCTCTTTGTTGTGATTACTTGCACTGCAATTTTTCTGAGGCAAGGATTTGGGTAGAACAAGGTGCCAAGGAGGGGGTGAAGGTGGGCTTACAGCGCTGCAGAACATTTTTATTTCAACCCCAGGGCAAAAGAGATCTCTTCAGCTCCTTTGCAGAAGTTGACGGTGAAGGTAGCAGCCTGCTAAATGTTTTAACAGTAGGTGCTTCAGTTTTATTTCCATTTGACAATGATACCTATTTTTTTTCAGTACTGTAATCTCAGCTTTGGCTGGATAGCAACTTTGCATCCCCCGCAACTTCTAGCTGCCCTCCCCTCCCCATTTCTTTCGATTGTCAACCTGGAAGCTGTTGAAATAGTAAACAGAAATGGAAGTCACCCTTACGCTACTAAATGGCAGACCAGAATAGTGGCTCCTTGTTAGGGTCATTCCTTTTGATGTGAAGTGTGTGGTAGACCTTGATGGGGGCAGATGGTGGGCAGCAACGTTGTTAGAAAAAAAAGGTTCCCGTTTTCCTTGCTCAAGGAGATGCCCAGCCTCCTTGTTGCCCGGCGTCTTTTACAAATCCTTCAAAAGACAGGCCTAGCAGTGTTTTATTGGATAAAAATATATTCTCCCTCCCAGATCCCCCCCACACACCCCAGATACAGAGTAGAAAGAGCCCCTGTTCTGTTCAGTCGCTTTCCTGCAGGTTTTTATTTCTCAGCAAAAGCGTGGAAGTCATTTGCCTCGAGGGATCCCTGCTTGACTTTGGAAATAACTCTTGTGCCTTAACTTCTTCCCGGAGTCCTGGAAACGTCAACCGTTCATTGCGTGGAAAAGAAGAGCCTAAAAGCCTCTTCCGTGTTGAAAGTTAATCTTTTGATTCTATTTTTTTAAGCAATCTCAGTCAGCATAGCCAGTGAATGTTGAGCCCCCAGGAAACTGGTTTAGAGGGGTTTTTTTTCCCCCTAGAAAGAAGCCCCTTGCCAGGTTTTGGAAACACCTTTGACCATGTGGGAAGCTTTTGGCATCAGGTTCTGATCTTTATTAACACCTCCTCTCCAATATCCATGGCGTGATTTGTTTCCCTAAACCACTCAGGGCGATGGTACATTTTCTTCATTAACTTTTATAAAGGCTGATTCAGCTCTCGCACCACTGACTTTGCTGGCTGTTTTTTCTCTTGGGGCTTCGTAGAATTTGGAAACCAGTGTGTTGCCACCTTCCTTCCCACTGTTCAGCTTTCAAGCATGCCTGTTTTTATTTCCCTAATGCAAAGATGGATGGACATGCATCATCTGAAGTAGGTGGGAAGCTGTCACCTCCCACCAAGTGTGAGAAATAGGCTGCAGCTGCAATTGCATGCCTTAAGCAAAAGTAAATTACAGTTGCTCCCTCAGGATCCGGTCAACGTCCTGGTGTCAGCTGCGCTTATAATACCATAGTGATTGGAGGGCATTAAATGGCTATATAGATTTCTTAAACATCATGTTCTATGTAATGGCAACTGTCCTGTGAACTGGAAAAAAAATAAAGTCTTTTATTTTCTATACAACCCCTCAATTGTTCTTTCTTTTCTCCTTTTCCTGGAAATTCTCAGAATTGCTCTCAAGGTTGGATAGCTGTGGGAATTGCGATTTCTCTCAAATAGTGAAGATCAGAAATTTTTGCCGATCTCCTGAAAATCATCAAGCTCTGTCAGCTTCACAGGTCTTTTCCCTACCTTACCTACAAGGCTTATTCAAGGTGTTCTCTAAGTCAGAAGATAAATCGAAATCTCTTTTCTTAAGTGGTGTTAGTGGGATCTTGGGCTTTAATACTTGGCTCTGCCCTTATTCTCCCCAGCAAAAGTTGCCTCCTCAGGCCAAGATTACTAAGAGACAGTTGCGTATGTGAACTTAGTGAAACCAAGTGTGCCCTGTGAAAAGTATTCTGCCTGCTTTTATTTACTTTTACTTTTTTTGCCTCCAAATATGTTGTTTGCAATATAGGTATCACAAGCTAGATGGTGGGATTTTCTTTTTAGCTGAAAACCACACGAGAATTGGATTCAAATTCTGAAACAAGACTCTAGACACTGCTTCCTTGTTCCCAATTAAACACGTCCAATTTGATCACATTTGTTTAAAAATGACATTAAGGCTTTGATAACACCAGCAATGAGTGACCTACAGCCTTTCAAATTTGTGTCTCAGTGGTTCTTGATAAGGTAGCCAATTATGCAGGATCTGGGAATTCAATATTGACCCTTCATGCTTCTAGATTAAGCTTCACTTGGAATATATTTAACATACTCAAATCGTAAAATCTCATATGATTGAGCTACAGGAACAGGTAAGAATAAGCTTGCTTTTCAGACCTTTTGATGGCCTCATGCATTAGCCTACAAAGAAATGACTGTATTTTGAACATTAAATTCTATCAGGACTCTCAACAGTTACCTGTAGCCATTTGCTTTGGATTTGCATTTTAACTGACAGGTCTTGGTACTGAGAAGACACACTGAGCAGAGTAAGGCAGTTATCTCAGGTACCTTATGGCAGTGGTCTCCAACCTTGGCAACTTTAAGACCTGTGGACTTCAACTCCCAGAGTTCCTCAGCCAGGAGTTGAAGTCCACAAGTCTTAAAAGTTGCCAAGGTTGGAGACCACTGCCTTATGGTAAGGGACATGCTAGTAAACCTATTAGCTGATCCCTTTGGAGAGCCACCTGTGAAACTGCCTTGTTACATTGGAGCAAAATTTACCAGTTCTATGAATATGGTCATAGTATCCTCTTCTTTGCTAATTAATTGTGCTGGCCAGGACTTGCATCCCATTTTGAAGTTGTAAGCTTCCCTAGCTAATTTCTCTTTAAAACTTAATGGCGCTCTTAATGGCCAACCAACACCGTGGACATAAAAATGGACAACATATTTAAATACCATTGTTTTCTGTATAGGATCTAACCCTTTATCTAACAACCCCTTGTAGGCGCTGTGAAAATAGCACAGATGAACAGGAACTGAAATACTTTATTCAGTCTAAACATTTCAGAAGTGGCAATAAATTAACAGTTGCACTGGATTTGGCATTACTATATATAAAAAAATAAACTGGGAGAGAGTTTAGTGGAAGGAGGGAGAGAAATTAAGACGAGTGTATCCACTTTCTGAAGTGAAAAACGAGGGTTTGATTTTTTTTAAATGTTTAAGTATGCATACTAAATTCTTTCCTACAGCTTTGCTATTCCTTCCACTCCCAACTCGCATCTTCTATATTGGAGGCTTGAATAAATTGAATATGCACATCACTGCCATACATATTTTTGCTGATTCCAGTCAATCTGAATCATTGTGAAGACTTAAATTAACACTGACTTTTTAAAATTATGGCATAGGAAGAGAGCCAAAGAAGTGTTAGGCATGTTTTCTAAGCTTCCCTTCAAGATAATGCGGAAATTGGAATAAAGACTGTCCTCTCAAAACTTTTGAAATATAAACTATTTGGGCACAGATGGCCAAAATATCAAGCAGAACTGAGGGGAAGGGCTGAAGCCCTTCAGGTAATTCAGATCTTGCTTTAAAGCACAGTATAATGTCTTCCAGGTATTTTGGAATTCTATTTCCATCAGTCCCCATATCAAACCATAAATAATTACAGTGAACTATCAGGTTTATGAACTTCCTCATCTCAATGAGATCTGGAAAAGTCTCAGCACCATGAACTATAGCACCAAATTCTAAACTAGTTCATCTTCAAAGTGATATGTTAAAGTCAGTTTATAGTTTATGCTTTAAGGATTATGTGGTTTTCCAGATAAACTGGAAACCTTGATGTCATAGTTCAGATACTATGACAAGAACTAGTTAAAAGTAGAAGTGACACTTTGGAACCCTTTCGATGGTCACATCAAAGAAAAGGGGAAGCATGTGACCAAGGGCTATTTCAACTAATTTTTTTCTCGCCTAATATCAGAACACAGGCAGGTGGGCAGTCAAGAATAGTGAAGTGAAGGCCTGAATTTAAGATTAAAGGTATAAAGTTTGAAAAGTGCACCAGATCTGAGAAGTATTGCAATCCACAACAAGGTGCAAGTCATAGAATCCAGAATTAGAGACATCTGTGATGTACCTAGGAACCTCTGAATTTGCTAACTACATTTCTAACTAGCATTCTTCAACTTGGGCCCTATTTGGACATATCTGCTGGTGATGTTGCTTCATATCTTCCACCCCCTGCTAAAGATTCTCTTCAAGAAGACAGCTGCAAAAGCTCATCCTTAACCAATAACAACATTTCCTTCCTAGCTTATTTGGTTTAGCTTATGCGGCTAATCCTGGAAGAAACACAAGACATGAATTCAGCAGGCAAACTGGTACAAATGTTTTCTGAATCTAATTCAACTATAGTCTTACCTTGGCTGCCCTAAACAACATGTCTCATAGATACATATTGTCACTGACAGTCCCATTCTGTTGGTTCCGAGTCTCCTCTGCCAAAGAGCCAGCAAAGAAGTTCTGAGAGAGTCTATATGTCCGACGGTTGATGACGAGGGTTTCTACAACCATTTGCCGGAACACAACAGCATCTTCATTCTCAGGCTCATTGCTGTCTACTTCATCGAATTCTGTAATGCGTGCAGTTTTCACAGATGGATGAAACCACTTGTAGTAGACGCATTTCAAGAAAATGCCAAGGGGATTACAGACCAGGGCAGCCAGGAGTACAGGGCAAAGTTGGGAATCCCAGCTCGAGGGAATTCTGTACCACCACCAAGAGACGATCAGGATGCCACTATCCAGAATTAGGAAAGTGTGGTAAATAGCTGAGCGGTGGCGGGTTTTCCCCTCGGCTACATTGAACCAGCAGAAATAGAGGATAACGGCTACTGTAGCTCGATAAAACCACTCAAAGTTGGCATGTTCCATTAAGTCTGTCTCTTGCAAGGAAACCCAGAGAAGCATGACCAACCAGATGACTAGAAAGTGGAGGAAAATGTAGTATGAGAACACTACTGCAAAGAGCGCCAACGAGAGAACGCGAGGACACATCAACAGGAAGTTCCACAGGAAGTAGAGGACCGAAGACGGGAAGGCCAACTTGTGTTTGTCCCGTAGGAAGCTGCGCAGGGCCTGGTGGTAATCCAAGAGGGACCAGGTGATACACACAAAAGATGTGCAAATCCCAAGTACTGCAAGGAAAACAAGGGAGAATTCAATGGAAACAGAGATCAGGTTGAGGAAGAACCTCCCACACATTGCAAATGTCAAAGTACCGGTGATGAATGAGGGCAACAAAATCTATCCCTTGAAACCCAGGAATCCTTCAGTTATTTAAATTATTATAATTTCTAGTGAATTAGCTTTTTTTTTTTGCACTGTTATGCAATCCTCTACACCAGGGGTGCCAAACTCGCATCATTGTGGCATCGTCACATGATGTATCAACTTTTTTCTCCATCGCTAAACCAGGCATGGGTGTGGACAGCGTGTAACGCATATCGCCCCCGGGCCGTGAGTTTGACAACCCTGCTCTACGCATTGACAATGAAATCAAGGAGGAACTTAGAGCCGAGGTGGCGCAGTGGTTAGGGTGCAGTACTGCAGGCCACTTCAGCTGACTGTTATCTGCAGTTC